ACATGGATTTGTTGCCAGAAAGAGTGCATTGTGAACATTCTGTCGTTCATGGCCACGGCGGAGGAGGTTTGCCGATTGGCGGCTGTTTCTCGGACTTTCCGATCAGGCGTTAATAGCGACGTTGTGTGGCTAAACTTTCTTCCGGTGGATTGGGAGCTCATGGTTTCTTCTATAAGGTCTTCGGAGGTGCCTTCGTGGTTGGTCTTCACGGCTGTACTGAAGAAGGATCTCTTTTATCTACTATGTCGTCAGTATGTACATCTCCATCCTCCTATATTTCCAGATCATTACACATCTTCCGTGTACGATAACCTGGAGAGTGTAAAGGTTAGTGGCTTTAAATTTCTCCAACCAGCCCATCTCATTATTCTAAGTAGTGGGTTGGATTAGTGGTTATTTACTTTTCCTATAATTATAATAGTTTTCTCTTGATTTGACTTTGTTGCTGAATCGAATTTTCAATTTTGTTTCTACTTCTTTTTCATCCGAAGGTCATATTTGTCACTTGTTCCAATGACGCCTTTCGAATATCGTACAATACTGACGTTGGGAACTACGTATGCAGTCTACTTGGTGTTCAAGTTCAAGTCTGTTGAACCCGCATCAAACCCGGTTCGATTATGCTTGTACCTTACACTTGGAATTGATATGGAAGTGCAAAAACAGTTTGTAGCCTTAAATCGTGTCCAAGGAATGATGAAAAGTTTTGAAGAAAGACCAGACGGGTGGATGGAAGTTGAAATTACCAAATTTACCCCACCTAAAGATACTATTGAATTTTCCTTCGGAGTGGACGAAGTCCCTCCTTACGACTACCCAATGGGATCGAAGTGAGGCCTAAAAATGTTTAATTTCGTTTCTTATTGCTTGCTCTTCCTCTTCCTCTTCCTCTTCCTCTTGCTTTGCTATATTTTTATGTTTATGGATTTGTTTTCTATTCGTTATAATGGCCATAAAAGGTTCATTAAGGTTTAATTATGTTTTGTGATTATGTTCTTATCATCCCCTCCTTTGAATTTCTTATTTTTTCCTTGCATTCAATTTTTTTCAAGCATCATCTCTGGCCATATTTGTTCACTCTTTCCAGAGTCCTTTATAATTTCTTGGTTCGCATTGAATCTCAATTACCAATAGTAATTTAAGATAATCCATCCCAACTTATAAATTAAAAAAAAAAAAAAAAAGGATCCTGACCCGAGATTCATGGAATCTTGAATTTTTCATAAATTTTCAATGCCCCATCTATTTGGTTTCTATATTTTAAAAACTTTCATAATAAATAGGTAATATTTATTTTCTTAGTTTTTTTTTTCTACGCGACCCATCCCATACTCATAGTGATCAAATTACTCACAATAATTATCAAAAATCAACTCTAAATGATTATTAGTAATTTAATGAAAAAAAAACTTATAACAAAATGGTTATTCATTAGTAATTCCTTTCTCATAAATAGAAAACTTAAACATATCAATTATAAACTTAACTAATAATTTTCAAAACTTACATCAATCTCATGTATGGCTAAGCCTATTTTGAAAATAGGTGGTAAAGAAGAAATTACTCCAAATGAAATAAAATTTTGATAGATAATTAATGAGAGTGGGGTGAATTTCGTCATTTCATCTTCCATCAACCCATCTGACTTTTTTTTTTATTTTTTTTAAATGCAAAGATAAGAGTAGATTCAAAATTGATAACTAAAGAAAGGAACACGAAAATAAATATAAAGGTAAAAGTAGAGGTTATAAATTTGAAAAAAATGAAAAATAAAATAAGAGAACCAATCATGTAAACAAAAATATGTACCTATTATGGTAGGTATGTTTTGTTTTAAATTTGGTCGAATTAATCTCTCATTATTAGACAATACGTTAAGATTTGACCATGATAAAACAAAAAAAAAACTTTTTTTTTCCAATCAAATCCTTTCTTAAACGGAAAGGGTTTTTTTTAATCATATTTTGATAAATCATAAAATGTGTAAAAAAGAAAATAGGGATTTTTGGGTTTTAATTAAGAAGAAAAAACTTTGTAGTCTATTTAGTAAAAACTAAAGACTATTCATGTTAAATACAAAAATATTAATTTCTTATATTATTTGAATTAATAAATTTTCAATTTTAAAAATTGATAAAAGGATAAAGACTTTTGATTTCATTAAATGCCTAGATTAGATCACAGCTTTCCTTACCTAAAAAGTCAAATTTTGTAGTTTATACCATAAAATATCACGGTTTCTAGATATGTTCATAATTACTTTTATAAAATACAATCATTTTTATAAATGATATTAAAAAAATCTTCCAATACAAGTTTAGTATTTTGAATCCATCTTAGAATTGTGTCCAATAAAATTTTAAATTTTAAAAATATCTAATAGATGATTATATTTTCAATTTTGTATTTAATAGGTCATTGAATTTTTAAAACAACTAAATGTTAGACCCTTGAACCTTCATTTTTAAGTCTATTAGGTCGTTGACTTATTGACATTTTTAAAATTAACCTAACATAATAAATATAAAATTGAATTTTGTGTTGAATAAGTTTGTGAATTGGAAAAAAAAAAAAGTGGCACACGTCAAGGATTATTAAACACAAAATTGAAAGTTTAAAAAAATATTACGCACTCAACAATTAAAGTCAAGTATTATTCAAATATTTTAAACTATCAATTAAATTTTTTTAAAAAAATTATATGATCATCCTATTGTTTTTGGAATTCTTAAAAATAAATTCGTAAAATAATAATCTTAAGTTTTATTCTACAAACTTTTTCACAACTAAATTTGAAAAAAAAAAATCTTAATTTGTATCCTACAAAAACTCATTCATAACTAAATTTGAAAATTTAAATTTACAGGTTTTAAATAAATTTTCTTAAATAGTTAAATTATGATGGCCAACATAGGGATGGCATTTGGTTATATAGTGAAAAGAAAGATGAAATGAAATATGAGATTTGAGAGAAAAGTAGGATTCATAGTTACAAAATTGCCCTTAAATTTTATTTTTTAATATAAATATTGGGATGAGGTTGTATTTACAAAATAAATAAATAATTAATGAACCTAGATTAAAATGATTGAATTTTAAATATACACTTTTTTTTTTTGAGAAATGCCAAATATACACCTACTTTTTATAGAATTAAAAGAATAATAATAACGAAATTATAATGCACTACATTAATATCAGAATTTTCATATTTTAAAAAAATCATAATTTTCATTGATGGTACAAAGTGGCGTAATAAATTTTTATTATTTATTTGTGGTTGACAATATTTCAAAAGGAAAATTTTCATTTGGTAACTTATCTTTTCCATTCATAGTCATCATTAATGTTTCCTCTCCATAGTCGTTTCCATATTTGCATTTAAAAGTAATAATTAAATAAAGCACAAAATTAAAAAATAGATACAATCATACTAAACTCATATGATATATGAGATAAATTTTTTTTTTGTACTATTTTTTTTGAAAGGTACTTTATTTTTGTACTAATGAATGTAAAAAAGACTAAGTAAAAGAATATATTATAATTAAAAAAATTATTATAATTATTCAAATTTGCCCCAAAGCAATTTTAAATAAAGTTATTTCAATTAATAAAACACTTATTACAATACTAAAAAAATTCTTACAAAAAATAAAATTATATTTACGGATAAATAATCATCTTAAACATTTTATTTGATTTTTTTAATACAACATATGTGATTGGGGTTGGAACCCTATGGATATGTGGATATCTACCCAAACATATATTGTTGTTAAAATATTAATCAATTTTATTAAACTAACAAAAAAGTCATGTATATAGATTATCTATTTCTTATATTTTTTGTAGTAGGAAGTGATTTATGCGAATAAAAGTTAAAAATGTCCGATTAAGACATGAACTTCTTCATGAGTAGATAGCTCAAATCTCACTCTTATAATTGTCATCTATATCCAAAACAAATTTATAATTTAAAAATAATAATTAAGCGAGCAACATTAGAATCACATCCATGGAGATTATAAAATGTGAAAAAATGCTATAATATAGGTTATCATTGGAGTGTTTTTCCAACTCAGTTATATTATTTTAAAATTTTGAATTTAGTCTCTTATATTATAAAATTTTTAAGTTAGTCTCTTACCATCAATAAATGTTAAAATTGACTAAGTATAAACTTATAGGACACACCACTTAATAAATTGACCGAAATTGAGGGGACGAAAATATTATAATATTTAGTGAGTCAACAAAAAGTTATATAAGAAAATATATTAATTATTTAAGCGAAGAAAAATTTAAATTTCTACTAAGTTATTAAAATTTTTGGGGAGGAATGAGAGACTAATTTCACCTCTAAAATTATGTTTTTTTTTCTCCTACAAAATTCACCAATTTCATGTAAATTTATCATTATTCAAATTTAACTTAGAAGTGACTAAATTAAAAAATGTAAAACGTAAGAAAATAAATTGAAACTTTTTAATTAACGAATACTAAATTAAAAAAATACACACATAACTAATAATATACTTTCTCGTAAAAGTATTCAACCAACCGAATAAAATTGTATTATCTTTTATTTTTTATTTTTTGCAAAATAAAACTACTTTATAAGAATGTATAAAATTAGTCCTACTTAATTTTTAAAAATAATTAAACTGAATAATATTTAATCAATTTATTCAACATTTTGAATATTAAGAAAAACACACGCGTGCAATGCACGGGGTAAAGCACTAGTCTTTTAAAGTTCATTTTTCTAACGGCTTGTAATTTCTCAGGCGAATTCTGAGTGTTCTTTAAAATTTCTTGATTTTATTGTCATTTTCGCATTGAATCTCGTTACCGATAATAATTCGAGAACCGTGAACGATGAACAAATCCCAAGTTATAAATAAAATAAAAAATTGGAATGACATGAATGCCAACCTCTAAATTTTCAATGTTGCATCTATTTGGTTTCTATATAAAAAAAAAAAATTGATAATAGATATCTAACGCATTTGATCTCACTCACTTCCTTGACATCTTTATTTCAAGCAATTGTATGACAAAATATAAGATGGTAAAGTAAAAAAGGTAGAACCACGAGACGAGTTATTGTCATAGGACCAAATTACTCATTGAAATACTAAAAACAAACTTCATAACAATACCGTAATTATAAAAAATCAACTCTAAATTATTATTAGTAATTTAAAGAAAAAAACTTATAACAAAATGGTTATTCATTAGTAATCAAATAACATCGCCATTTTCATAAATAGAAAATTGAAATCAAAGATACACAATTGCTTAAACATATCAATCATAAACTTAACTAATCATCTTTGGGACTCACTTCAATCCCACGTATGGCTAAATCATATTTTGGGAATAGGTGGTAAGGAAGAAATTCCTTCAAATGAAATAAAATTTTGATAGATGACGAGAGTGGGGTGAGTTTCGTCGTTTCAAACATCAACCCATCTGGTCTTTTTTTCAAAAAAATTTTAAAAATTTTTAACACCCAAAAGTGTTCTTTTGTCTTTCTTACATTCCAAATGAATTGGTAGAAGAATAATCCAATAATTGTTGGATTTCTTCAAAACAGCTCGGCAAAGATAAGCGTAGGTACAAAAGATTCTATCTTGAAAATGAAATAGACTGCATACGTTATTTCTTCGAAGG